AAGGAGGGGGCTTTGTAGAAAACGAAGCGTTTGAGAGAGGCGGGGCATATAGGACCTACAATAATGTACAGTATTTGAAAAATAATGTGTTTTTTGAACATTAAAGCATGTCAACATATTCTGTTACACCAAATACACAAAATAATGATCTTTAAAAAAGCATCATATGACCCCTTTAAATAAAAATAATAATGTGCATTAGACATTTATAATAAATACTGCAATGTTCCATAAAAAAGTATTGTCAATTATAATTTCATGCTATCTTTAACAAAACAACTAGACAGCAATGCAGTTGCCTAGTTTGGTTTTGGTTATATTCTCAGGGTGGGAAAAACATACTTTTTTGAAATGAAGAAATGTTTTTTAAAAAGATACAGTACTCAAAGTTCTTATCTTTGAAATTATCATAAAACATATGAAAACATACTCGGAAAAAATACTAAAAGCAAATACTATATTTAAAAAAAAATGACAGATATTTGGAAAAATTACGAGTTCTTTGTATGTGCCCTATAGGAGTCCTTGGTTTTGCAAAATTACATGAAAAATATTTTACAAATGTTATTACAGTGGCTTACATTTTTTGTCTTTGGGTCAAACCAGTGACTGATGTCCTTTCCTGCACACTCTGTGATAGGTTTCAATAACACATCACCTATAAGAGAAAGAGAGTCTTTGTTACAATGCTCTTAATACCGTAATCAGTTAATACGTGGCACATTTAAAAAGTTTGGGGACAAAATCTTTCTTCCTTTTCATTTTTTAATGATATGGTGACTTGCCTTTATATTCCTCCAGCAGCGGTGTCAGATCGTACACTTTGCCCAGGTACGACACCCATATATCTTTGAGAGTGTTGTGAACGGACACCTCCTTCGGCGTGAAATACTTTGGGCGCCGCATTCTAACAAACTTACTGTTTTGGAGAAATAAAACGGTTTACTCAATTTATGAGTATTCAGTCACTGTACAAAACGATTGTTGTTACACTGGCCACAGAAGCGCCACAAGCTCACTGGTTGCTGTGGTAACCGAAGCACACAGGGACAGGAGCGCGCGACCTACGGAAGCCATGGAAAAAGTGGCGCTAGTTTTTTTCATAATTAGTTTAGTAAAACTTCATAATGACGCCACGTTCGTTGATGTATTAGTTAGTTTACATTAGCTCAGGTCCATTAAATTATATTAAGAGATAAAATTTTCGATTTTAATAATCTTTTAGTAAATGTTAAAATTAACATTAAATGCTTTAAAGTAACTTAATTTTCCTGATAACTAATAGATCCTTATTATAAAGTGTAACCATTATTTTTTTATGCTTTGCTTAAAAGTACTATTGTGATATTTTTGGCATTTTTTACATCATATTTTTTCCACCCTTCGGATAAAAAAAAAAATAAAAAAAAAAGAACCTCTAACCCTTAAATAAAAGTAATTGTGATGCTTGCCTTTACCTTCAAGTCCACCAATTAATCCTAGAAAAAAAGACACTTGACAAATGAGTCTTCAATACTCTTTCTTAAATACAGTATAATCTTGGAGACTTTCATGAATTTGTTTAGCTTAAAACAAATGAAAAACAAGCATAAAACATTAGGAAGACCTATGTCCTTAACATCAGTAAGGTCATTGCATTGGCATGTCAGCACAAACTAACAAGCATACACCCAAAAAACCTGCAAACCTTTTAAATTACTTTTGCCACATTTCATAAATCTTCAAATATTGCTTCTTTTTTTTTCCCCCAATAGCTAGTGATCTCTTAAGTGGTTGACCTTCAACTCGAAAGTGCAGAGGTAACTCCTTAAGTTTACATAAAGCTTTGTTGTGGGACATTGACCTGTTGATATATTAAGAGAAAAAAACTTCAACCAAATAAAGACTGCTTCATAGCCTTTCATCTGATTTATCATCTGCAACAGCTGTCGAATGATCATACACATTCTGTCACGTAAACTTTTAGCAAAGATTTCAGTAAAAAAAAAAAAAAAAAAACTTGTGCAAACTGGTATCAGATCAAAGGTGTCAGGCTTTGAAGCAGTTATAAAGCATGTTCATATCTGGTAGTTTTATGCAGTTGGGTTAAAAAAATTAAATAAAAATGAGACAAAGATATGAGAAAAGGTACCTCCTTTGCCAAAAAGCGTGCAATACAGTTTTATCTATTTCAAGACTGCCGGCATGTCAGCGCTGAATCTTTAAGAACGCAAATATGACATACTGGTGTCAGAAGTACATGGCACAGTCTAAAAGAAACCACAACCCTAAATTCTGGAGTGTTATTCAAAGAAAACAAACACAAGCAGCAGAAAAAAGAGAATGAGCAAGACAAAGTGATGTTAAAGATGGCACATATGTCAAAGAAAGATCAACATTTTTGAGCCAAAATGACTCCAGTTAAGACTCCAAGTTCAACTAGACTCCATTTTTACGTATTGAAGGACAGGAAATCAAACACCAAACTAGTAGTGTTTGCCCGATCAAGTAATTTGCTCCTGGAGAAGTCCAAAACAGCCTGTGGATTCAAGTCTCAACAACAACAACAAAAACTCCCTGTTTGATAAGTTTCCTCCAAAGTTCAGTTTGGATAAAGCAGGTTCTCTAGCCAGGTTTCTTAGTCCAAATCATTGTCCGTTTATACTGCATCAGCCTCTCTGTTATCAGTTGTAGTGGAACTTGAAGTGAAAGTTTCCGCCCTCAAAGGGGTTGAAGCCAAAGGGCCATTCTCTGCCTCCTCCACCCTGCTGATTCTCAGGGTCCAGAGGGTCCTCGCCCGAATCAAATTTCTGACGCATTTCTGAACAGAAAACAACAAAGAAGAATGCATCGATTTGAAGACACTTAATAATTAGGATTTTAATGTTTTTGAAAGAAGCCTCGTATTCTCACCAAAGCTAGATATACAGTATTTGACCAAAAATACAGTAAAAATATAAACATTGTGAAATATTATAATTTAAAATAACAGCTTTTTTATTGCAATACATTTTAGAATGCCTGTGAAAGCAAAGCTGAATTTCCAGCATCATTACTCCAGTCTTCAGTGTCACACGATCCTTCAGAAGTCATTCTAATATGCTGATTTGTTGCTCATTTAATAATAATGATTCTTATTGTTATCAATTTTGAAGACCAGGATCAGGATTCTATGAATTTAAAAATCAAAACAAGAAATCCCTTGTAACATTATAAATGTCTTTCCATTTGGCTTTGATCAATTTAATGCATCTTTAATGAATAAAAGTATTAATTAATTTCTCTTTTTTCTAATCTTATTTACGCCAAACTTTTGAATGGTACTCCATCATGGTTTGCACAAACATGTTAAGCAGCACAACTGGTTTCAGTACTGATGGGATTTTTTTTACTAGAAAAATAGAATACAAAAATGTAAAATAATCTTTTAAATTATAATAATATTTCACACCATTACTGTAGTTTTTATTAAATAAATCCAGCCATGGTAAGCATAAGACACTTCAGACAAAAACATTTAAAAAACTTAATGTTTTGTTAAATGTTACAAAAAATTGACCGACAACAGAAATGTTCAATAACAGAGGACTGAAAATCATTTGTATTCATGCTTAATTTAGTTTTTGCTGTCATCTGACATTTTCCTACCTGGATCTGTGAGCACTTCCTTTGCGGATGCGATATCGATAAACTTTTTCTCTGCCTCTTTCTTGTCTGCTTCAGACTGGAAATTATCAGGATGCCACTGCTGAGCCAGCTTTCTATACGCTTTTATGATTTCCTGTTTGTTGGCACTCCTAAAAACAAGTGAAAAGAAACAAGCATTTCAGTCAAACAATCTACTTTCATTGTTACTACCGCAGGTGCCCCAGAAACAACCTTTGACCATTTCTGCATTATTATCATCATAAAACAGCACAGAAACAGTTAAGGAAGTAACACTCTCTGCAACATTTTAAGGCAGGATTTTGCCTTACCTGCTGACCCCCAGGATCTTGTAATAGTCTCTCTTGTGAGACTGCTTGAGGAGCTTCTGTGCTCGGTCAAGACCTTCACGAATCTCCTGGTTGTCCTGATCAAACTCCCGTGCCTCCTGATAGTCTTCCACAGCTGAGAAGAGGAACAGAGGAAGAAACGTGAGTTTATGCAAACGAAATGAAAAGGGTAGAAAATTCAGTACATTTTATAGTAGTCAGAGAGAGTTGAACTACCTTTCTCATATTCCTGCAGTAAGATGTAGGCCTCCGCTCGGTCCCGGAGGATGTGGATATTCTGAGGTTCTCTCTGGTGGGCTTCTGAACAAATGTCTACGGCCTCCTCAGCACTCTTCATCTGGAGGAGCCAAAAGAGGGAGTGAGAGAAAAACAGAACCAGTGAGGCTAGACACCAGAACCAGACTCTTGATGTTCTTATTCTTATTAACCTCTAACGATGTGAAAGTGAACATACCATATAAATGGTGATTACTAGGACAGCTGGACTAGAAGGGGTTTCATCCCCTTAAAAAGCTGTAAAATAACTAAACTACATTTAGTAAAGGAACATACTTTGACTAAGCAGAAGCAGATCCTCTCCTTTGCTTTATTAGTGTAGAATGCCACGTTCGGCTCTGTTCGCATCACAGATTCATACTTCTCAGTGGCCTCCTGATACCTGTCATTCAAGTAAACATAAAACAAAAGAATTAATAAACCATTAGAACTGAAAAACCTGAAATAATCAAAATGATGTCAAATTTGACACTGATGGAGACATAAAACCCATTCAAAACCAAATCAGTAAGATTTTTTAAAATACATTATTATTTTTATTCAGCAAGTACGCATTAAATTGACTTTCTATTTCAAATAAATGCTGTTCTTTTTAACCTTTCTGTTCATCAAATGAACCTAAAATAAAAATGTATGACCGTTTCCACAAAAATATTAAGCTGCACAACTGGTTTCAATAATCAGAAATGTTTCTTGAGCAGCAAAGCAGCATATCAATATTATTTCTGAAGGATCATGTGACACTGAAGACTGGAGTAATGATGCTGAAAATTCAGCTTTACCATCACAGAAATTAGTTATATTTTCATAAATGTTAAAAAAAATTATACTTTACAACATTACTGTTTTGACTGATACATTGATAAAGACTTTCAAGAGAATTCCAAACCTTTCAACGGTAGTGTATAGAATACGTGACAAAATAAATAATAAGATATAGCTATAAATAAAATGATACATTTATAAAATAAATTATAATATAACACATCTCAAAGGCCAAAAATGAATTAGAGTGAGGTAAGCTAAGCCTAGACCTGAATTAAAAGGCCAATTTTCTAGAAGTGACAGGGAAGGGATGTTTTCAGCACCTCTGTTCTGAGATCAGCTCTTCTGCAGAGTCCAGCTGCTTGCTGAGCTTCTTGGCCTGTTTGTAGTGAGCGAAACACTCCTTATCATCCTGATCCAGCTTCAGACACTCACGGACCTGACTGAAAACAGAAACAAAGAGGGAAACACACAGTGAACAGCAGCAAAAAAGAGAGACAACTCTCCTTTTGAACATCACATGAGATTGGAGTGTTATTATTACAACTACTGTACATGCACACAGTCAGTGTGTGGGATTGACAAGTGTATTTACTAAAAGGTATGACTCATGATTTAATAACCAAAGAATGTGGCTGTCATTCATACTGAATGACATACTTAAGCGAGTCGTGATGATCTCCTAAACTGTAATGGAGTTGGCTGAGTTTGAGGAAGGCTGCTCGGTTGTCCGCACGGAGACGTGTGGCTGGTGTCAGGTCCATAATGGCCTTCCGTGGATCCCCGAGTCGGATGTAGCACTCGGCTCGTAGTTCTCGAGACTCTGGATCCCAAGGAGAGAGCTGGAAAACAAATAAAAGTTTTTGAATCACCAGAGACATGCGAAGCTTAAACTGCAACATTTGATTTGTTATTTGTTTTTGTATTTTATTTGTAGGGCCACTCATTTCAACAGCTCAAATTAGAGAAAGTGGGATAAAGAAAGTCATAAAGTGATACGAAATAAAAATTCATAAAGAATACTTCACCTAAACATAATCCAAAACTTTCATACGGTATTATCAGTGAATAGAGACTTTTATTCATAAGGAATGCATTAAATTGATCAAAAGTTACAGTAAAGGCATGTATAAAGTTACATTTCTATTTTTAAATGAATGCAGGTCTTCTGAACTTTCTATTTATCAGAGAATCCTATTTTAAAAAATGTTTCCACAGTTTCCACAGAAAGTATTAAGCAGCACATCTGCTTTCAACATTGAATATGAGAAGTTTTTCTTGAGCACCAAATCAGATTTCTAAAGGATCATGGGACACTAAAGACTGGAGTAATGGATGCTGAAAATTCTGATTTGCCATCACAGAAATAAATTCAATTATTTTTTACATTTTTATAGTTTTAAATTGTAATACTATTTCACATATTACTGTTTTTACTGTATTTTTTTGGCCAAATAAATGCAGCCTTGGTGAACCTGGTGAAGAGACTTCTTTCAAAAACATTAAAAAAATGTAATGTGCTGTCAAACGATTAATCACGATTAATTGCATCCAAATTCCAAAATAAAAGTTAGTTTACATAAAATATGTGTGTATACTGTGTATATTTATTATGAATATATAAATACAAACACATGCATATATATTTAAGAAACATATGCCATGTTTATATATATATTAAACATATTTATATATTATATATAAGAATATAAATATATAAATGTATATACATGTAAATATTTTCAAAATATATACTGTATGTGTGTATTTAAATATACATAATAAATATATACAGTACATATATTATGTAAACAAAAACTTTTATTTTGGATGCGATTAATCACGATTAATCATTTGACAGCACTAAGTTTTACCAACCCCAAACATTTCCACAATAGTGTAAATCTCAGTTTCTAACTCAAACGAAGCTACTGTGTGTATTCAGAATAGCACACAAGTTCTAGAGATGACTTTTATGATAATTTTTGGGTCCTTTTTTAAGCTTGACAGTATACATTACATAACACTTCTGTTTTACGAAAAAGATTCTAGAATCTGAAAATAATCGTATTTTGTGTTTCACTGAGGAAGAAAAAAAAAAGCCAAATGGTTAATGATAAATGATGTTAATGATGGTTAAGGATAAATAAATAACATCTTTTTAATTTTTTGGGTGAACAATCCCTTTAATATTACTATTAACACATGTAGCAATAAACAAACAACACCAGTTGCTGCATGTGCATTTTTGATCTCCAGACTAACTCACCTCTATGACTTTCTCCAGCACCTGGACAGTAGTGCTGTAGTCTCCACGGTGATGGGCCTCATGTGCCTCTTCCTGGAGTAACTCCAGCTCCTCGGCCTTGCGGAGCTGATCATGTGCTTCCTCATGATTCGGGGAACGCTTCAGCTGCAAAGGAGAAACGTTAACAGAGCAGGAGACAGGAAATAGAACAAAATGGAGCAAAACGTGATCTGGTTTGAGAATGAAGTTGGCAGGTTTTAAAGGAATAAGGGAATTGTTTCACTCACTACTGCTTGGAAGTCTTCTCTAGCCTCTTGAGTACTTCCCTGTTTCAGTAGAATATTAGCCCTCTGCAGTCTGGCCTGAAAACACATACACACCATAAACATGTATATACGGTACTGCCACCTAGAACTTAGTTTGATATCACAACCACAAAAATGAACTCACCGCAAGGAAGTCTGGCTTGAGCTGTATGGCCTGGGACAGGTCAGGCAGAGCTGACTTGGACTTTCCCATAGCCAGGAAAACAGCGGCCCGTTTGTAGTATGTCAGGTAGTTCTTAGAGTCACCCTCTGTTTAAGACATTTGCATTGGTTAATGAACTGCATCTTTTCTTTAAATTACCTACGTACACTGAATGTAATTGCATTTTAATACTAATTAGCGTCAAATAAAACAACAAAATTAAACTGGTCTGTACATTTTTTTTTTAAGTCTCATATGCTGACCAAAGCTTTGAACAAAAATACAGTAAAAACTGTAATATTGTGAAATTATTATTTTTTTTTTATATATTTAAACATTTATTTTATTCCTCAGATGGCAAAGCTGAATTTTCAGTATCATTTCTCCAGTCTTCAGTATCACATGTGACATGATCCTTCAGAAATAATTCTAATATGCTGATTTGGTGCTTAAGAAACTATTCTTATCATCAATGTTGCAAATAGTTGTGCTGCTAAATATTTTTGAGGATTCAAAAAGTATAAATGTCTCTAAACATCAATCCATATGTCACTGTGTTTGTGTATATATATATATATATATATATATATGTCTTACCCACAGCTGAATGATAGTGAGACAGGGCCTCAGCCAGCTGTCCGGCTGCCAGCAGCTTACGGCCCATTTCCAGATGATGCTCAATCTCAACAGGTGTTGCTCCTAACACACCTGGAATAAAGAGACAGGTGACTTACACATGACACCTGCTCAATTTCATAATGAGGCAGCTTTGAAAACCCTCAATCTGCCTGATGGGACTGAGTTTACATACCTTAAACTTACATACCCAAACAACAAGTGTTTCTATCACGTCATAATAACGAAACTCCTTAAAGGGAATTCAACATGGCATTCCACTGCATTTATGTTTCGATTAACAATGACAGCACAAAAAGTGAAACCATGCAAACAGCACCCTGCCTTGTAGTTGTTACGGAAAACAAAACTAAAGTAAAACTAAAATCACCATCTCTACTTAACTCTAGAACGGCTTCTGTTTCAACATTAACCAATAAAGATCTTTAAAAGCTTTAAATGTATGATATTAAGTTAACAACTCCTAGGTATAAGGTAGATGGCCATTATATGTTTAGTTGTCACAATAATGCATACATTAATTAAAAAACGAACTACAACCTCTAGATCTCATTAAAGGTGCAATAGGTGATTGTCTTCAGAAACATTTTTTGTTATGCTGGTTGAAAGTCTCTTCACATCCCGATAGCAATCATTAAGTTAAGTGGTCTAAATGTATTTGTCTGTATTTATATATTCTGTGGAAGGTGTAGGATCAAGAAATGTTCGTCTAATCAAAACGTTCAGTCCGAGCGTTTTAATATGCTTTCCTACCTGCCTGTCAACGTATGTATTAGCATACCTCTGCGCACCGGGTTCGCGCAGACAGGATACGTCATCAGCGCGTTCACGCACGCTGTGCAGACAGAGCGAGGATGGCAGGCAAACATCAACAAGCCGATCTTCCTTCCTGGTATTGTAGTACTTTTAAAGATTTCTCACAGGTGAATGACACATGATGTAGCCCAGCGGTTAATCCAGTCCTCGCGCCAGCTCGTTAGAAGTGAGCTACGTGCATGAACTGTGTTCCGATCGATATGATCCCTACACAGAGTTCATTGCTCCCTACTCCCTGAGCAGGGGAAATCCGTTGAAGTTTACTTCACTTCGGAACATGGGCTGGAATTGGGAACCTGATGTAGCCTATTGTAGTAATGTTGTCTCTGGTCTGTGAGAGTAAATGCGTTCAGGGGGCGTGGCTTTGGACGGCGATTGCAGGAAGGGTGGGACGTTCGCTTTCAGTGCTATCAGGCTAAAGTTAGCATTTTCCAAGATCTCCTATTGTACCTTTAAGTACATCAAATAAATCATGGTTTATGTCCATAAACATGGCGTTACCATATTAAATGTCCAAATAATAACACGGTAGTGCTATGGTTAGGCCTGTCGCAATAATCAATATATTGACTTATCGCGCAATATATGTACATGACCTCAAGAATTTTTGGTGACGCAATATATCGGCCATCATATTTATTTAAATTAATGTCACACATCTGAGTGCTGAGAAGTGATTGTGTTTTTCAACAATAGTGTGCACCCTTAATTTACAGAGAAAAGAAGGTCAGGGACAAATCTGTAGATGGAAAAATCTCCATACAAGTTTTTCTTTGTGCATTTTTCTTTTTTTCTACTTGTTACTTTAGAAAATGTTTATTTACTATTTATTCAGTTTTTTTAAGGTATCTAATATTTTGATACTTATTTTCCATGATCTAAATATTCTTAAAAATTAAAAGTTTGTTGTCATTTGGAAGTGTGTGGGCCTTCTTGCATTATTATGCTGTTACATTATGATTATATATTCAGTGACATAAAATGGTCTTTAAAATGACAATAATATCACTTATCGCAATTATTTCTGGGGCAATATATCACACAACAAAAAGTTGTTATCGTGACAGGCCTAGCTATGGTGCTTTTCTGTTTGACCAAAATCAGATTCTAAAGTGAGAGAAATTGAAAAATGCGACTGTGCTGTCAACCTACACAGTATCAGATTACATCAAAATGCTGTCTAGATAGGAATCTTACTAAGTTTTAAAAGTCAATATGATTTTTATTCTACTTCTATTTGAAAGACTTCTTCCTTGACACTTCCTGTTGAGCACCTGTGGAGGTACCATGGTAGAATGACAGTGTCAGATGGTGGAATCATGTTATTCTGATACAGATTTCATTATTACCATATCCCTGTACCATGATTTTAAGTGATACTTCAAAGAATACCATAGTATTACCATGATCCTTGTCCAAAAACATGGTAATACTATGGTACTCCCAGAGACAGGGAGGACAGGACACTGCTCAAACCTCTCCGCCGTCCCGGCTCCATGATGACATTTATCACCCCCCCGATATACAACCGTGTGTCTTTCCACTGGGGCTCACAACGCAGTAGGTCAATAGGACAGAAAGAGTATTTACACTCAGATCATCCTAACAGCGACATATCCGACATAGAATGCGATGTTTCTGTTGTCCGGATTATAAATATGTCCGAGTGGAATAAAGGAATGCGAAACTCTAGTTCCGTGTGTCTCTCTGCTGAGGTTAAAACGTGTCTTGTAATTTATAGGGAGGTGTTTCTTAGCCCCAGTGTGACAGTGAGTGACCGTGCACAATAGCTGTCGGCCACGTACTTTAGGAAGTCTCCTCTTGATGAACCTCCTGGCTGGGTGTACAATTCAAATCGCCCTACATTTCAGCGCGGCGACTGGCTGCTCACTTCCGTGTTTGCCGACCAACGTGGTCCCGTCCCATTGGCCGAATTATGTTAGCGCACTGGACGGACACGCCCACGTCCTGCAATGGACTGATAGCTGATATGACCCATCATTACTTGGGAGGAAAAGTCTATTCTCGCCTGGCCTTTAGTAAAGGAAACCGTCGTTACCATGGTAAATATTCTATTCTATTCTATTCTATTCTATTCTATGCATTATGTTCTTAGAGCATTATACAACACAACAGAAAAGAATAGGACTTTATAAAATGTCCCATGTTAACCTTCCACCAAAATACCACACTGCACTTAAGTTTTACTATTATATTTTATAAAATACTAATAAATTAAATCAGTGTAGGAACAGTGAGATTTTCAAATGTGTACCATGTTAAACATGGTTATTATTTGAGTTGTGGCGTTTCATGGTTTGTTTAATGCATTTGGATTATATTATACTCTGTTCTGTTATGAATATATGCTGTTTTATAGCATTACGGAACAGAATGCAGCTTAAAAGAACAGAATAGAAATGGTAACAATGGTTTCGACCAAAATGCCATACTGCACTTAAGTTATCATTATTACTGAAAATAAAATAAATAGATAAAAATAAACAAATAAATAAAATAATGTGACCTACTTCAAACTAAAAAGCTTGAATAAAATAGAATTGAATAGAATAGACCCCATCAAATATTTACCGTGGTTTCTATTACTAAAATTAATTGCTATTGTTAATATGTATAATCAGAATAAATTAATATAGGATTTTATTAGTGTAAATTTGTTTTGTAAGAATAGAGAATAAAATGAATTGTGATATATTGTATTGTTGTTATTGTATAAACTGTGTTGAACAATAAAACATTCCCAAATACATAATGGCATTTTTAATGTCATGTTCTTTTTTCATTTATAATTATTACTTTACTTAGTACTAACATTTGAAATAAATTAATCTGGGACGCTCTTTAAACAATGTAAGAAGCTTAAAAATAGAATAGAATAGACCCTTTCAAGTATTTACCATGGTAACCATGGCTTCCATGCTATTATTACTGATATGCAAAACCAGAATAAAATACTATAGGATTTTATTTAATAGTGTAAACGATAAAGTTTTGTAAGAATACAATAAAATATGAAATGTTGTATTATTGTAATTAGTGTGTTGGGTCAAACAATAAAATATCCCCAATACATAATGCCCTTTTTAATGTCGTGTTTGTTTATTGCTTGTATAAAACATCATATAAAACAGGGTCATTTGTACAAATAAGTGGAGACAAGATAATTAACATACTATAAATCTTTTTTTCAAATCTTGATTCACGTAACGGCAACAAAATTCTAAATTCTAAACAAAATTGAATTTCAACTCTTTCATTCTGTATAATGTTCTCTGAGGTGTTTTTGCACAGCAAAACTGACATGGTAACATTTTACTTGATTAATGACTTATCCTTAGGTGGCCACAAAACCACCTGTGCGTTTGGTACTGTATACATATTTACATAATTGCACTGATAAAACATCACTAGACAGAATATTAACAGTCAACTATTACCGTAATGTAATGTAATATAATGTTGTTTGGCCATGAAATTGACCAGAATTGCTTCATTCAGACATAGGCATTTCTTCCATAAGTGCTCTGAGCGTCTCTCCTGGATGCGGACGCTGAGTAAACTGTTTCACGTGTGGGCTGGTAATAACTGCAAGAGAAGATGCAGAATGTAAGAAACATGCTCCCAAACACAAGCGCAAATGCATAAAATAACAAGAATGGGCCAAATGTTTTATATGAAAAAATGAGAAGTGAGAAAGTATGTGAAAGAGAAGTGTGTGAGTGAGTTTAAGCGATTGTGACAAAGAAACTCACGCCTTCTCCTTTGTGCCTAATTTGCAGGAGAACATGAGACAAGCTCCACCACAGATGGCAAGAACACCAGAGGCCCAGCCGATGTATAAAGCCTCTCCAATCTCATACCTATAACACACCACAAAAATAACATGTTCAGTCTAACGTGCATAGGTTTCACTCAAACTAAATTTAGTCAAACTTTACACAAACACAGGAGTTTCTATCATTCACTCTCAGAAAAAAAGGTACAAAGGCTGTCACTGGGATACCCTTCCAAAAGGCACACATTTGTACCTTATTTCCACCTAAATCATGCACATTCGTACCTTAATGGTAAATATTTGTACCTTTTGAAAAGGTACCACCACTGTGACAGCTTTTGTACTTTTTTCTGAGAGTGTTCAAATACATGTAGGCCTATAGTAAAGCACAGCCGAGGTCATTCAGTTATAGTCGGCAGTTTAATTCTTACTTTAATGCTTCATAAAACTGTGTGTGAGCACCACCAACAGCTGTTCGATGAGAGCAGTAAATGAGTATTAAAT